GAAAATCAGAATACAAGAACAGAAACTAAAAATGGAAAATTTTAATTTAAAGATTTAATCAATAATAATGAATGATTCAAGAATTTGAGAATGACAGAAACCATTGGAATTCATAGCAAATTTTTAATTTTAATAAAGAAATTTTTGAAGAAAAACATTTTGATGGGTTATAATGAGTGACACAGGAAAATGGTACAGAGAAAAGAGGCTCTTTACTAGGAGCCAACAAGCCTGAGTTCCACCTTTGCCCTGCTGTTAAGTAGTCTTATGCCCATTTAATCTTTCTTAAACTGTTTCCTAGTCTTCAAGATTCTATAAAATCTCTTCTAAATCTCACTTTCAAAGATTCACACAAGCTCCTTATGTGTTTAAAACACATGGAGATATTGAGCTACAAATCTTTATCAGACTTAGGCCAATTTTGCAACTTGTATCTGGTGTAAAAGTGAGGCAGTATCTTAATGTTTCCCAATATTGAGAAATTAAAATTACATTTTTAGATTTCCTCAGAGCAAACCAAGCTCATGAAGTCCCTTCCTCCAGGAGTCTCCTTCCACCTCAGTTGACCATTTTTTACATTTAAAAACTAAGCTAAGATATCATACTTACTTATCTAGTGAGTTATTCTATTGCTTAAATCAGAGGATGCCACCAAGCAGCTTGATGGAATCATCTGTGTGATTATTCACAACCAATCCCCCAAACCATAGTTCTCCAGCTACATGTGATCATCCCTTGAACAGCAACATTTCCTGGAACTCAGTGTTGTATATCACATGCTCCCAAATTAAACCACAAATAGGTTATTCAAGACAAATTCAGATGTACTGAAGTAAGCAAATTTGCCTTATCTCAAGGGAACATATTAGATCCCTATAGCAATGCAAACTCAGAATTGCTGAAATATTCAATATCACAAACTTTTTAGTTGGGTTGAATGATATGGACTAGTGATATACTCTGTTAGTGTAGATGTCAAATAGTTGACTACGAGTGAATTTCCAGGTTAAAGATCAATAACACCATGCTGGGCAGGCCAAGAAGGTCAGCGGACTAAAGTGTCTGCTTAGGCAAAGCGCAGCAGCCAGGATTCCCAGCATGCTATGCCAGCTCCGCCCCCAGGGCTCTCTGAGATGGCAACTGAGCCTGGAAGTGGTGGTGCACACCTGTAATCCCAGCACTTGGGAGGCTGAAACAGGAGAATCACTACGAGTCCGATCTGTGTAGTGAGACCCTGTAGACCCTTGTACACCCTGTACTAAATTAAAAAAAATTAAAAATAATTTCTAAAAAATAGCACCATTCTTCACCTTTTAAGAAAAACCCAGAGTAGGATATCTTTCTCTTGCTGAGACACAAGTAAACTTTCCTGAAGTTCTTACTCTCCTATTTCTCTAAGGAGGTTGACCTGTTCTTTCTCAAGATTGCTACCTTATTTATCAGTGACATTGTACAAAATAAAGGAAAACTAAAGTTTTGTTTTTATAGGACATATAATTTAAGTCTGATTGCCATGGAATAAAAGGACAATTATCATCATTGTGCACTTGACATATGCCATACGTGTTCACAGATTTTTGTCTCATTTAAGCTTCCAAAAAAAAATTTTTCCCCCCTTGGTTATACAGCAAGTAGCTCCTTCACACAAGCAGATAAACTTTATTAGCAAATTTAGCTTTAATTTGAGAGATGAGAAAACTGAGAGTCAGAGAGGGTAAGCTATTCTTTCAAGGTTAAATGGTAAGATATAAATCTGGACTGAAACAAGAGCCCTTTTACTCCAAAGCTAAAGCTGTTTTTACTCTTTGAGGCAGTCTGGCCTAATGAAAAATCCCTCGCTAGAAAGGGTCTTAGCATTTTGTGCATAAAGAGGATTAGTCAAGATCCTTTGAAGCCTCCAACTATTGTTTTACTGGCACTGAAACACACACATACTCCACTTATATTTCTTTTTTGACTGAAATTCAGCACCAAGTACAGTGTCCAAGTCATGTACACAGGGAGCTGTGCTTGGATTCTGTGTTAGGGAGCTCACACCCCCAATCTTAACTTCCCCATCCTTGACTTGCTCGTTGGCACTGAGTAAAGAGGAAATGTAAAAAAGAAAAGAAAAGAAAAGAAAGAAAGAAAAAGAAAGATGGGAGCCTCTGACACCATGGGGAAAATTAGCACATTTCTCAGAAGACCAAGATAAAAATGCATGTGAGAAGAACAAGGGAGCTAAACAGATGGGGCAATAAATGGAGATAGAATGAGCTCATCAGGATTCCCAGCACATGGTTTCAGTCCATACTGAGCTCTCAGCTGACCTGGGACCAGCAGACATAGTGAATGAGTGGGTGGTTACTATGCTGCAGCATCAGTTACACTAAAGGATTAGGCGGTGCTGATTCACTGCTGCAGATCTGCACGACTTTTCAAATGGAGGAAAATCTGTAGGCCCTGGTCTCTGCCACTCACAAAACTATTCTCATTGGTAGTATGAGTCACACCTGCAGGGTCTTTCTTGGGTTGTGAGTAAAGAATGTGCCACCATGTTACTGAAAACAGGTCTCAACCACAGTTATTGCATCTGCTTGTATAAAAGTATGACCTGCAGTATGACACAATCAGCCTGCCTTTCCATACATACCCTTCACTACAGGTGGTTTCCACACACACAGAAAAGAAACGTGTTCTGAAATCTCTGTCACACTGAACAGTTAGCTCTTCTTTTCCAAACACCAAGCTCTTGAATAGAGCCAGAAAGGCTGCTAAGTGTCTAGCCTAATTCCCTTATCTCATACACAGGGAAATGAAGGTCCAGACAGGAGAAATGCCTCATCCCAAACTACTTAGCTAGTGACAGTTGGTATTAGGACTTGAACTCCTCATTCCTAAACCAGCAGATTTTCCACTGCACTATGAAGATAAAATAAAACCCTAAATAACATTTACCCTGTTAACTAAGCCCTCTAATTTTACTGACTCCTGAGAAAATAACATCTCCAATGCCGGGCTTGTTCCATCTGGGCTTTGGAAATTTCACTGATCACTTCTCACACTAGAATTTCTTTTAAGAAATTTAACAGTAATTATTTGGGGATATATGCTATTTTTATGTCTTCTCGTACACTGCCTTCTTTCTTCAGAGGAAATTAGAATTCTGGATATACACTTGATTTTATTTAATTATTAAATGAACAAGCCTCTCTTTCAAGCAGCTGCAAATACAATTAGTGTATGTCAAGAAAGGATATATAGTGCCATATAGGCACAAGAATAATCTATTGTCACATCTAGTTAAGATCTACCTAGGTATATGAGTAAACGAACATCAAACTTTGGAGTGGAAAAGTAAAAGGTCACATCTTTATCTGAGTAATTCTGAGCATGTCTGAAGTTGTTTCAGACATGGAATGATCTACAATGCAACATTTCATAAAGTGCTTTTGAAACCATGTTGCTGTCACTGCAGTTTGGGTATATGTGGGCTTATTTAAACTTTCAGAGTTTTCAAACTCAGGAAGAAGTCTATTCAAGGTCATATTTACAAGGTGAAACTGATGATACAGACCAACAATGACACAAGCCCACTACTCCCCCTACCTCCCACCTCATACCTTTCCCACTGATGAATATTCTTACCTGAATCATTCCTCATTGTCCTCTGCTTTACATAATGTGTAGACCAGGTTTCCTGCCTCTATTTTTTATCCTTGAAGAGATTTTCATCAATAGAACTTTTTTTAATTTACCAACATTGTCCTTGAAAACCTCACAACTATTTACATAACAGAAGCTATTGTTTGAAGTGCAAAGCAGGTCAGAATTTGGTTTCTAGAGATTAATCACCGCAGTCTACTTTATATTATCATAATAATTTCATTTATTTTGATACAATTTGTTTTCAGCATCAACCTTAGCTTCTGTGCCCAAGTGACAAATCCATTTGTTTCTGGTAGAATGGATAATGTGATTAATGACCTAGCAACAAGATTTCTTTAAAAGCACAGAAAAAAAGATTTCCATTTTTAATGCACTGTAAACCAGCTCAGCCTGTAGCTGTACTTAAGAAAAAAAAAAAAAAAAAAAAAAAGGAAAAAAAAATCCTCTGAACTTATTTGTAAGTAACGGATAAGATTTTGAAACAAATTTGCTACTCCCTTCTGGGGTTTTCTGTGCATTATCTGTTCTCTCCAAGAATCTGTGCGCAGTGGTCTCAATTGGAAAAGCAGATGTTGTGCTCCCCACCCCAACGCTATTTACAAGGACGGGGCACAGTTGTACGCCGCCGTGGCGTGGCACCATCGCAATGATTCCAGTGGGACATCCTCACAATCGTAATAAGCTCACTGACTAGAGGGCTGTCGCCGGCTTACACGATGTAGCCTTCGTCCAACTGCGTGGGCGCCTGGTCCCGCCCCGCAGACTGTGGAAACGGCCAGAGCAGGCCGGGTGGGGGCGGGGAACGTGAGGCCGTCGGGCTCCGGAGGCGGCCGTCGTGCGGCTCCATCCCGCCTGCAGAGGGAAGAAGCCCACCCTGCGGCGGGGGCGGCTGGCGTCTACGTCCGGGTCTTGAGTCCCACCGCGGTCTCCACTGTGGGAAGTGGGGTAACCTCCCCTTCAGGGTTTTTCGCGCCGCGCCGGAAGCCCGCAGCCACTCGTGGGCGCTTGGAGCCTCGCGGCTTCTCCTCAGCCCGCATCCTCGGGTGTGTTCCAGGAGTGCCTAAGCCCGGCCGGCCGACGTTCGTCAGGGCACTGAGGTATTTGGGGACTTCAGGGCTCCCTTCCTGGGGACCCTGGGACCTCACACTCCCACTTGAGGCTTCGGCCCACGCGCCCACCCAACAACCCCGCGCTCCTTGAGGAGCGCCCCCAACTCCGCCCCCAGCGTGACGCGCACTCAGATGGACCAATCAGAGCTTGCGGCGCGCGCCCCACGCGCCGAGTCTCCCGCCCCCTCCGCTTAAGAAAGAGCGCGCGGCTGAGCCCAGTCAGACCGCTGCGCTAGGCGGCCAGTGGAGTTATAGGACAGCAAGAGGTCTTGGCTGTGTCGTCCACGCGGCCACTCCAGTTGCCAGCGCCCCGACGGCACCCGCCCTCCAGTTCGCGGATGCTGAGTTGAGCGCGGCGGCAGCAGCGGGATGTTGGCGCTATTGGCCGCCGGTGTGGCGCTAGCCGTGGTCGCCCGGGCCCAGGACAAGCCGGTGCCCGGCAACCGCTTCGTATGCACCGCGCTGCCCCCGGAGGCTGTGCATGCCGGCTGCCCGCTACCGGCGATGCCTATGCAGGGCGGCGCGCTGAGCCCCGAGGAGGAGCTGCGGGCCGCGGTGCTGCAGCTGCGCGAGACCGTCGTGCAGCAGAAGGAGACGCTGGGCGCCCAGCGCGAGGCCATCCGCGAGCTCACGGGCAAGCTGGCGCGCTGCGAGGGGTTGGCAGGCGGCAAGGGGCGGGGCTCGGGGGCCACGGGCAAGGACACCATGGGCGACCTGCCGCGGGACCCTGGCCACGTCGTGGAGCAGCTCAGCCGCTCACTGCAGACTCTCAAGGACCGTCTGGAGAGCCTCGAGGTAGTGGTGCGTGGAGAATACAGGGGGTGACGCCCTCGGCGGCTGGTGGGTGGAGGATTCGGGAGAGGAGCGGGTACATGAGATCGTCAGCGAGAGAAACTGTTACAGGTCAAGGGAAGGGTCTTGGCCTTGGTCTTAGTCTTAGTCTTAGTCTGGAGTTTACTTGAGTCAGACCTCTTTCTCCCTCCCACCCTTCCTCGTCTCCTTGTTGGAAAGCAAAGGGTTAACCTACCGTCCACCTTCCCCGAGCGCGCCAGGGCTACGCACCGGTTCCACGGGGAACTTGAGGAGGTCCTGGCTGGTAACCCCGGAGGGACAAGCCGGGCACGAAATATCCAGGACCAGGACGCGCTCTGGCTGGCTGTGCCAAGGTCTGTCTCGGAGGCTTGCTCGTGCGGTCAGGTGCCTCGGGCATCTGGTGGTTTCTTTTCACTTTGGGTCGGCTGGACCAGAGGAAGTGAGGGCGGGGAAGGAGGGGCGGGCGGAGGGGAGGTGGGAGGGTGCCGAGAAAAGATAGCGCAGCGGCGGGTCACCAACGACCCCCAAAAGCACATCTAAGTAAATCTCATAACTTCCAAGGTGCTTGTCTACAGACTTGGACCATTTTAAGGTGCCCTTCCGGATTGCTTTGGGGGAAGGGATCTTATTACCTTCCCTTCTTGAAAGATGTCTACAGTTTGGAACTTTGAAAGCAAAATCTTCAATTAATTTTCCTCTTTACTTTCCACCCTATTTAAGAAGTGTGGACATTTCTGTTAATAGCGTTTATCAAAACACCTATTAGCAAGGCAAGGTTTGAATTACAGGTGGTAATGATTGCCGAATTGCTGGAGGGTTTCTTTTGGCATGAGAGCTAAATACAGTATTTCTAGCATCTGTACATCCCGTGAGTCATTATGATTACTAACAGCTAACATTTCTTGAGTACTAAATATGAGTCAGGCAAATTATTTAATATTAACTCCTGCAACAATGAACAGTATGAGGTAGGTTCTATTTTCTGCAATTCATAATTTGGAGCACTTGGACACAGAACTGAGGTAAAGAGTTTGCCAAGGGCTCATGGCTTAGGCAGCAGTGAGCTAATGGCAGAGGTGTAAGAGAAACAGAAAGTGAGGATTTAGGAAAAGCGTTAAAAACAAAGATTTCTGGAGTTTAGACTCATGAGATTTTATGCCTGTCATTTTTCAGCGGTGTCTCTGCAAGCATAGTTATTTACGTTTGCGTCATTCTGGAACTTTGAGGTTGTTTTCATTTCTAGATGAAAGCTCGCCAGCTTTGAGTATCACTAATTAACTCTGTAGGAAAAAGAAAAAAAGTCCTCTCTGTATTTTGGTTTGTACCTGACATAGAATTATGGGTGTCAGTTTAATTTTTGACTTTTTAGTGAGAAGAGAAAAACAGCTTTTAAAAAAGAGGGAAAATAAGATTCTCAAGTTTCAAATATTGCAGCAGAGTAATTCTTGTCTGACTTTGAAATCCTCTGACTTTGGAAATCCTTTCCCCACCCCAAAAAATAAAATTAAATTAAAAGGGCCCATCAAGAGCCTTTTGAGCCGTTGGTATGATTTAATGATAAGTTTTTGGAGGTTTCTCCCTATGTGGTCATGTTACTGGAACTATATGTCACCATTTCTGCTCCACCAGCCTGAATATTTCTCTCCCACTCTTCTGATTGAAAGCTCCAGCTCCGCACCAATGCATCCACCACAGGGCTGCCCAGTGACTTTAGAGAGGTGCTCCAGCGGCGGCTTGGGGAGCTGGAGAGGCAGCTGCTTCGCAAGGTGGCAGAGCTTGAGGATGAGAAGTCTCTGCTCCACAATGAGACTTCCGCTCACCGGCAGAAGACTGAGAGCACCCTGAATGCACTGCTGCAGAGGGTGACCGAACTGGAGCGAGGTACACGGTGCTGTGCTTGTCTGTCTGGAAGAGGCCTGGTTTTCATCCCTTGTGGTCAGACTCAGGATTTCAGTGTAGGGAGAGCAGATAATAAAGATGACTGAATGAAGATGACTGACGGTGGTTATCTCAGGAATCAGTCCCCGCCCCACTGGCATTGCCCATGGGAAATTGAAAGACCTCAGGGCCACCTTGGACAAACAGCCTGTCTCTGGCTTCCTCCCTGTGTGGACCTTTCAATCCCTTCTTAACTCACCCTTGCAATAATTTCTGTGTATCTTTCTCTTCCTTCTTTACACCAAGGTGGGTGTAAAGAAGTTTCTCCCAGGAGAGCCAGAAAGGGAGAGATGAAAGGCCCTAGATAATTTACACTATATTACAAAAATTGCAGAGTGGCCTGAGTATATAGTTCTAAGTTTGCTGGGAGTGGGTATAAGATTTAATGTCAGGTATACTCACCTGATATGGGCGATTTCTGATTATTCAGTTTCATGAATTGCTAGGAGCATGTCCAGCCGCAGAATGCCCAGTGACTCTTTCAGCCACTTTGACCCAGGAGGACCAGAGGGAGAAGGGGATGGGTTTCTCTCCTATCCCATGAGGCACAGGATTTTTTTTTTTTTTTTCTTTTCTCTTCCACTAGCAAGATCTAGCCTTTGTTCCCTGGCCTTCTCAGAAGAAGGTGGTGTGTCTAATGTGCGTGACTCACATTCTTGAATTTCTAGAACTGTTTCCTCTCTGCCTGCCTTCTACTGCCAAGTGACATCAGGGGACTCATTAGGTCTCAGCCTTCCCCAAAGGTAGAGAAGCTGCAGCTGAGGCTGTTCTCACCTGGTGGGAGGGGCGGGCCGTATCTAACTGCATTTGAGCAGGTCCCTCCACCCAGCCACAGCTGTAGTATTTCCTTTGGGCCATGCAGCAGGCACTCTATGGTCATTTAGTGCCTTAGAAGGGATGGCTATAGAGCGAGAGCAGAGCTTTGCCAGGGCTAAGTGCCTTGCTTGGTGCAGTGGCCAAGTTGCTGTAAGAATGAGTTAATGGAGCAGGGCCAGGCAGTGCACTGAGTCCTTCACTGCTGGGAGGTCCAGTTTCCTGATGGGAGTGCCCTTTTCACAGATGAGAAAAATGCTCACTTCTCAACCAGATAAATGTCCTCTGGAGAGAGAGGCCAAAGTAGTGTGGGCTACTAGCTGGGAGGTGCAGCAACAACATACCCCCTCCTCAGTTCTCTGTTCTCTGATTCAAGACCAATACAAGTACTATGTGGCCTACCTCATGCTTCTTCATCATGGCTTTGGTCAGCAGGAGCTGCCACTTGGTGACTTTCTCTCCCTCCCCAGCCTATACACAGGCAGAAGGAAACAGGACTCAGGCCCATTGATCCTGGTTTTGGCGTTGACTCTCTTCATCCTTATTTCTCACTGAAAGCTGTTAGAGCCAACTGTCCTGGAAGGGGTGGGTGCTGGTTCCCTGGTGGTCATTCTGGCAGAGGATTGGCCTACAGCAGCTATTTACATGGCCTGCTGTCTTTCAATGTGCTGTGCAAAGTTGAGAATGCCTTATCAACTCCACATGCCTTGTCAACTTAGCTCTGGGATAAATCTTTTAAGAAACGTGACCATTTGCTGAGCAGTTTCTTTGCTTGACAGTTGGGTTTACATTGGTCCTGTCTGTGACCATTGTCTAGGGACATGTCCATGCCTAGCCCCCAAGTGTGCTCCAAGTGGAGAATGTACCAGGTTCCTTAGAAGCATCCAGCTGAGCACAGAGGAGGTAGAACTCAACCATGTAGGAAGTGGGATCTTGGGGAGACTCTGACCTAAGATCCATCATCTTGTGCCTGTTCTTGGCCAAGTCCCAAGTCTCCCCACCTCCCCCCAGCTCCTGTAAGCCTTGCAACAGCCCTATGGCATGTACTAGCTACAGACAAGGGACTAAAGTCCCAGGCAAGTAACACCTACATTTTCTCAGAGCTGGGATTAAAGGTGGTGACTCTGGAGGAAGAGTAAGGACTCCTGCCCTATTGGGCAGAGGGCTATTATGAGCCCAGCAGGCACTGTCCTACTCTAGCCTGTGGGTGCTCTGCACTCCTGACTTCCCAGGATGCCCAGCTTTCTTTGCTCATTCCCAGGGAGCTCCAGAGCCTGGGCCAGCTGGCCAGGTGCAGCCCTGCTCAGTGTTGAAAGCAGCCTTGACACTAAAAAGACCAGAGCCTCCTCCCTGTAGCTGCAGGCTGCCTGCCCTCCTCCTTGGACTTGTCTGCCACCTGCAGTTTCTGATTTATTGGTCAGGCTTTTTAATTCCTTAATTGGTTTTAACTAAGTTTCCTCTGAACTTCCAAGCTGTTTTATTCAAATAAAGGGTGCCAGCTTTCAGGGTGTGGACCCCCTCTTCTGCCCCTCAGCTCTCCCAGCTCTAATTAAATCTATGTGTTGTTACCATGCTAACAATATTACTAATACTGAGACTTATTAAATTGGAAAGCCTGCCCACCTTCAAGCATAGAAGTCATTTCTCTTTATTAGATAATGATGCCTTCATTAAGAATGTGGCCATTTGCCACTTGAAGATTAAGTACTAGTGGCTCCACTAAGGGGAAGAGGGACTTTCAGGTCCTGCTCTGTGATTTACTAGCTATGTGACCTCGGATAAGTCTCTGAGTCTTGGTATTTCAACTCTGTAACCTGCAAAACCAGGGGATTGGGGCTGTTTCTGTCTGTTTTTCTTCAGCCTAATGAAGGTCTGGCCCTTGCCCTTCCTCTGGCAAGGCCTCTCCACTTCCTGGGTTCCAAGGTCTTTCTAGCCCTTAGAAGATGCTTTGAGCCCAGGTGCTAGAGAAGGTCAGGAGACTGCGCAATCAGAGGCACACGCGTGTATATGCTGAGAAGTCCAGGTTCTGGTATCAGTGACATCCTTCCTGATCCGGAGAGACTGGAAGGGTAATCCTGGGCCTGTTGGTCTACCCAGAAAACCCTCCTCAGACAGACAAGGCCCTTTACCCTGATAGAAACCAAATTTGGGGGATTATGTTAGTAAAAGGTTATCCAGCCAGCTGTCTCCTGTGAGTGCTTGTTGAATGAGTGAAGATGTTTAGGAGGCTTTCCTAGGAAACCTGGTCCCCAAATAAGAGGAAAGTTTTAACTGTGACAACTCACAGAAGTAGTGTTTTCCAGAAAACTTTGGTCTCAGATAACAGGGAATGGCATTGTTAAAGTACTTTTGCACCTAAACCAAGACGACACTGAAAGTTACTTTAATCTACTTTAGAGTTCATTATCCAGCATTTGGAAAGCACTGTGTACCTAGGAGTAGCCTGGGGAGAGGGAGCATCTTTATTGGTCCAGAAAATTCTGGAAGCAGGTGTGTTCACCTGGGTGGGGGGAGCACCTCTGCATGTACATGCCTCCTCTTGATCTGGGTCTATAGGAAATTATCAAGAAACAATCCTCTCTTGGGGAAGAAAGGGCGAATGGAAGGGAAGAGTTTACAGAAGGGACTTAGCCACTTGTGAGTTATTTGTAGCATCAAGACCTAGAGCCCAACTCCTTTGCTTCAGTGGTGGTGATTATTTAGTATGACATGGTGACATGGTCTTCCTCACTTGCTAAATGTTTACCAAGTGCGTGGGTGCTGTGAGACTTTCTGTCACCAAACCCACCTGCTATGGATTCCAGACCCCACTTCTTCATGAAGAGGCTGAGAGCTAAGGAGAACTCTGAAGAAACAAGACTTGACTAAGAAAAGATTTTTTTCTGGTTTAGTGAAATAAGAGAGTCAAACTTACCCTTCCCTAGTTCCTCAGTCTTTCCGATCCTCAGATATGACTAAAATAATACTGAGTACTAAGAAAGGACCAGAGATTTTTTTCCACTGGATTTAGGGAAGCCTGTGTTTCTGTTGTAAAAGACAGAGCTAGTGCCTGGCGTGATGGTGTGTGCCTGAAATCCTAATACTCAGGAGGCTGAGGTAGGAGGATTGCAAGTTTGAGTTCAGCCTGGGCAATTTAACAACTTAGCAAGACCCTGTCTCAAAATATAAAGCCAGCCATATGCCTGTAGTCTCACCACTCTAAGGCATGAGGACTGGAAGTTTGAGTCTAGCCTGAGCAATTTAAGGAAAAATAAATTTTTTTAAAGGGAAAGGGCATATAGTGCAGTGATAACCCACTCCTAGGTTCAATTCTTAGTACTGCAAAAATAAATAGATAATTGGTAACATATATCAAGTGCATTACCTACAAAATAATCCTTTCCCCTATTTTCTTACCCAGTCTTCCTTGGGGCCTCAGACTTCCTGGTACCTCTTCACGGGGATCTCATCCAGCGACATGCCATCACTCTCCCTCCCCGCCGGGCCCTGCCTTCCTAGCAGAGTCCCTGCCAGCCCTTCTGTCCACCACCTGCTGCTATTCCTTTCTGCCTTCCCTTCTAGGATATAAGCCTCCTGAAGGCAAAGGCTGAGTCTAGGACTGCTGGATGTTAGCACTTTAAGTAGTGGCTGGCAGCTGAGGGCACCCAGTCACTCTAGGGACTGCCTGAGAGTGGGCTGTGAGGGAGACTCGCTGGGGGTAGGATGGGCTAACAAGCTGTGGCCTCTCTTCTCTGCACCTAGGAAACAGTGCATTTAAGACACCAGATGCATTCAAAGTGTCCCTCCCCCTGCGCACCAACTACCTGTATGGCAAGATCAAGAAGACATTGCCTGAGCTGTACGCCTTCACCATCTGCCTGTGGCTGCGGTCTAGCGCCTCACCAGGCATCGGCACCCCGTTCTCCTATGCCGTGCCAGGGCAGGCTAACGAGATTGTGCTGATAGAGTGGGGTAACAACCCCATTGAGCTGCTCATCAATGACAAGGTGAGGCCACTCGGTGCAGGCCTGGGAACCCGGGGAAGTGGACACCTGGTGCAGGGAGAGTCTGCTCCTGGCCAACCCTTAACACAGCCCAGCAATCTTTACAGGAAATGACCGAGGAACACAGCTCTTTCCACCTTGAAGAAGTGGCTGTGTGCTGAGTGGGTCCACTCTGGAGTGTGACAGAGGGCAGGGGATGGGAGTGGGGAGAGTGGTAGTATATGGAGATCCAATCTGTGAGTCTGGCCAGGAGACAGCAGAGGGTCCAGGCAGCAAAGGAAGAGGGGAGCAGAGAGCAGGTCTCCGTGTGCAGGGGCTGGGCAGATCATTTTACATACAGTGAAATTTATCCCCTCCATACACATTTCAGCCAGTTTCAACAAATGCATACCATTGTGTAACCAGCATCCCAATAAATATAGAAAACAGTGCCTCCTTCTCCCACCTAGAATTCCCTCATGTAGATTCCTGCCTTGACTTCATATAGCCCCTGCCCCAGCCCATGGCCTGTTCCCTGGACCTACAGTCTTGCTTTTTCCAGATAAAGTGGCCCAGGAATCTGGCCTCCCCAAAAGCTCAGCTGTGGGCCTCCCAGCACCCCCCATTTCAAACTTTCCTTCTGAAGTTGACTAAACATAACAAAAGCACAACCTCATGTCCTCCTGGCTGGATTTGAGCATTTGGATGTGTGTTCCAACTCCCTGGCTTCCCCAGCCACCAAGGAGGGGTGGGCTGGGGCTAGGAGCCCCTCCCTCAGGGGATTTCCCTGCCTGCCCTGGGTAGAGATTGTTTAAATTGGAAGTGCTGTGGAGCCTACCAAGGATTAATTGCTCTAAATAACATGGTAGGACTGAGTCTTGTTTTCCTCTCCATTGAGACCTCTTGTAAACATCTAATTCCTGGAGGGAGGCTTTGGGTTGCTAGGAGACCAGCGGCAACAACCAGGCTGCCCAGCCTACTGGCAGTTCTCTGTGTGGTCTGTGTATGCCCCCTGGCACCTCACACTGACATCCTTCAGCCCTCCTCCCAGGCAGGTGGCACACACACACCCCAGCACACAGGGCCCTGAGTGACACCAGGGACATTTGGGGCTTTGTGTGAGAAGATCCCTGGTCCGTTCTCAAGGAAGCTGGTACAGGAGAATATTTGACTTCAGGGTCTGTTCAGAGCCAGCTGAGGTGGGGGGGGTGCACCCCTCATGTTAGCTTAGCTAGGGTGGGTACTGTGAGTGTCTAGTTCAGACCAGGGGGCTCCTGCTGACGTTGTCCCCTTCTGAGTGTCACACACAGCAGACAAGGGTAGCCCTGGAGGCGCAGTGGCCATGGGACTCGCAGGTGGCCTTCCACTTCAGGCTCCAGGGGTGTTGGGTGCTTCCTCATCTGCATGTGGCCACCCACAGGTTGCACAGCTGCCCCTGTTTGTCAGTGACGGCAAGTGGCACCACATCTGCATCACCTGGACGACGCGGGACGGCATGTGGGAGGCTTTCCAGGATGGAGAGAAGCTTGGCACTGGGGAGAACCTGGCACCCTGGCACCCCATCAAGCCAGGCGGGGTGCTGATCCTTGGGCAGGAACAGGTGGGTGCCCTCCAGGGGCCAGCAGCTGTGGGCCTGATGGCTGTTCAGTGGGCACAACCCTTGCTATCTCATGGGCTAAGGATGCACGGGGACACGGTCAGCACTGGCAGGGTCCAGGTTGGGGTGGTGGGTGCAGGCAGTCCCAAAGTCACATCTGACACACAGGGGTAGGGGTGCCCCTGCAGTCCAGCATCATCTTGTCACTTGGGCTGCAGCTTCATTCCAAGTCTGAGGCAGCAGAGAGCATCTCAGTGTCTGTGCAAGTCTCTGCTGGGACTGCCTTTGCCTGGGGCAGAAGTGACTTGGGATGCTTGAGCTGTTGTCCTCCGGGAGCTACTTGCTAGGGGTCCTGTCCCTGATTTCCAGCACAGGGCACTTAGGAAATGCCAGGTGCTTGGTATGTGGGGGTGCAGGGAGGAGAGTGGGAGACCTGGAACACCCTCCAGGAAATGTTCCGTCTAGGTGAGGAGAGCAAGAAGTTGTGTTTGAGATTTAGGCTGTAAGTGCTTTGGGGGCTTGGAGGCTGGATCCTTCCTAGCCCACTTCCCTCCCCTCATGACTGCTTCCCTGAGTGACTCAGAGTTAGGAAGCACAGCTATAGTTCTAGTTCTGAACAAGTGTTTCACCCTAAATGGCCCCAGCTTCCGCTGTATAAAATGAGTGGTTCATGTACAGCTGTTTTGGAGGCCTGTAGACTCCCTGGTCAGAGGAGGGGAGTCTGGGAAATGTCTTGGCCTCCTCCCCCATCTTCCTGGAGAATCAGCACGTGTGTGATTGTGAACCTGCCCTGATGGTGGATATCCTGTCCCTGTTTCCCAGGACACTGTGGGGGGCAGATTTGATGCCACACAGGCGTTCGTGGGAGAGCTCAGCCAGTTCAACATCTGGGACCGCGTCCTTCGTGCGCAGGAAATTATCAACATCGCCAACTGCTCCACGAACATGCCAGGCAACATCATCCCCTGGGTGGACAACAACGTGGATGTGTTCGGAGGGGCTTCCAAGTGGCCGGTGGAGACGTGTGAGGAGCGCCTCCTGGACTTGTAGCCATCTTCTCTCCACCGGAGGCCAGGACCAGGCCATCCCTGTTGGGATGTCAGGGCCACTTACTCCCCAGTTGGACTGTGTAAAACCTCTTGCCCCAATGGCTGGGACCCTGAAACCTGTTCCCAGGAATCTCTAAGTCTGACACCATGTGGCATCGTTTGTCACTGGCTTATTTGTTCCTTCCCAAGATTTTGGTTTTGGGGGTAGAGAGGTAGTGCCAGAATCCCCTGGGTAGGAGCCCCCAGCCACAAGTGGGCAAATAGCTGACTTCCTGCCGGAAGTGATGTCCATAAGCCCCTCTCCAGACCTGTGTAAATGCTAGCACAGCCCAGTCCTGCCTGTCCTTCCAGATCCCTGGTGTCCTGCGTGCACCTTCTGTGTGTCCCTTGTGTGTAAAGTGCATCCCTGCTGTCAGCTGAGCACGCAGCAAAAGCAGTCCCTCCCGCCCCGTGTCCTGTGCATTGAGACTGTCGCTGTGAGAAAGTCTAGCTGGTGGAGGGCCAGATGTCCAGACAACCCCTGTCTTTCCCAAAACAAGGGGAGGGATGGGGTGGGGGTGCTGCCTCCTGAGGGGGCCCAGGAGAAGAGCCACAACAGCTGTCCCTGCCCTCTGCCACTACTTCCTCAGACCCATGCTTTGATGGAATCACTCATCTGGTGCCAAAAGTTCGTGTGCAGCTTCTACAACCATTCAGTGTGGCCTGGGGGCTTTATTTTTCCCCATCAGAGAATAGCCATGAGAAGGCTCTCATTTTTTACATTTTGCCCACTGTGAGGAGTGTGTCTGTTTTTAATCCACTGGATTCCTGTAAGCATCTGTCCCCATGGGTTGTTTCCCCAAAGAACTTTGAAGAAAATGGATGTCATTTAGCCAACACTTGCTCAGTGACTCCAAGATGCTTAATATATTGTAATTTATTTTAAAGAGAATGTGATTATGTGGGGAAATTTATAAAGCTAAATATTATATATTTTATTTTTCATACCTGTTTGAAGTGCGAATTTGTGGAAATTCCATTCGTAGGACCAAGTTGACACGCCCATCCTGACATTGTACGCCACAAGAACTCTGCTGATGATGGAATTTTGATTAAAGTGCACTGGAAGATGCTTCAGGCTTTGTTTCTCCCCACCTGGGGTGGGGGTGGGGTCACACATGTTTTCGCTGGGGCCTGACACCAATGAGCGCATTCAGACCCGTTCCTAGAAGACTCGGGGAGCCAAGGATGCATGGAGGAGGATGCAGTCCAGGTGTACCCCATCCTTCAGTGCCAGGCTGCAGTTGTCCAGCAGGTTCTGTATCCCCAGCCTGTGTCTCTCTTTCCACTCAGACAAGAGGACACTGAGCTACCTCAGCTGTGACATGTGCTCAGCACCTTCTCTGCGAGGTACTCTTCATGCAGCGACTCATTTAATCCACCTGACAGTCCCCTGGAAGCGCTCAGCCCAGTTCATAGATCAGTGCACGGAATTGTAGCCAGCGAAGTCCAGACCCATAGTCACAAGCAGCCTGTAGCTCTGAAGCCTGTTGCACTCCTGTCCCTTCGACCACCTGCCACCTCAGCTCTGCTTTTTGGCCCTTGGCTCTGAGGGGCCTCTTACCACTGTAACCCTTGCAGAGCTCTCTGTGTACTTGCTGGGCCCTCACTGGCACATTGAGAGTCCCTTCACCATCACTTTCCACTTTTATATTTCACTCTGCTTGCCTCCATCCAATGGAACAATGTCAATTTCTGTTACAATAAGGGGGTGGGGACTAATTTAGGGCCACCTGACGCTAAGCCAGATGTACCTTGATACTGAGGCTGTGATGGAAATTGTGATCTTTGGTAGACTACCAAAACTGGTAAGACTACGAAGACTGGTGAAGTTTGTTTTCAGTGTTGTGAATTATGACTTGGTGGGTGCTGAATGTCCTCAGAGTTGGGTAGAGCATTAAATTAGCCCAGATGCCCTGCTTGGGGCCCTTGGGAGTCTAGTGTGCTGAAGCCAGCTGGGGAGCAGTTCATTGCCAATGCCCTCTGTGATGAGAACACCAGCTGATCAGACCTCCCCTGGAGAGGTGCTGGCTCCTCATTTCCTGTATAGGTGAGAGGCTGAGCTGACCTGTATCCTGGCTCTGCCTCCTACAGGGCAGACTTTGTTCCTCTGACTGAGTCAAATAGCTTCCTGTAACTGGGCGAGTCTTGGGCCTGGAGCATGGAAACAAAATGCTCTTCACTCAGCAGTCCTAAGGGCAAGAGGATCCACCTGCCCTAGCTGTTGCCTCACACTTTCCCTTCCCTGGGACACAGTACCCAGTATCTACAACTTTTTTTTTTTTTTTTAAGTATTTGGTACAGAGTCTACGGGGTCTCACTATGTAGATCGAACTCGTAGGGATTTTCCTATTTTTAGCCTCCCAAGAGCTGGGATTACAAGCGCACACCACCACGCCCAATCTTAGGGGCCAGCACAGCACACCGGGAATCGAATCCCAGCCACTGCTCTCTACCTAAGCAGACACTGTAGTCCACTGAGCTATCTGGCCGGCCCTCAGTATCCACAACTTAATGGTGAGATTTATTCTGGCTCACAGCTACAGGCATTTTAGTTCATGGTTGGCAGGTTCAAACACAGAATCAGCATGGTGGAAGGGCCTGGAGGAGGAAAGCAGCTCATGTCATGGTGACCAGGAAGCAGAGCAGAAAGGGAAATCTTCAGAGAGGGGTGTCTCCCTCCATGTTGTCCTGCCCCCAGGCCCCGCCTCCAGCCAGGCCCCACCTCTTAGCAGCTCACTCAGCCACTGAACATCAGGGGATGAATCCATAGGTAAGTATAGCACCCCCATGATCAATCTCAAAGCTCTGCCTCTGACTGCATGAGAGTTTGGGAGAACATTCTAGATCTAAACCGTAGCATTACTTCTCACCTGAACACTGAGTGATCTTTTGTTGGATATTTTACCTACCTGACAAAACCAAAAAGCAAGAATCATCCATTCAGTCTGATGAGTTCCTTGTCTTGAGCCTCGCATTGGTATGAGATCCACAGCCTCAGTCCCCAGTCAAGACCCCTATCCTCTGCTGGAAGTTGGAAAGCAACTCCCTTGATTGGGAGCCGGGTTTTCCAGTGAGGATGAAGTACAAAGAGTCCTGGGTAGTGGGCTATTCTGGTTGGTTAAGGATTGCCATGGAAATGATCCTATTGATCGATAATTACTGAATAGAAAAATGATAAAATGCAACTAAAACAGAGGGCATCAGGGAGCAGGTTTCTGCTAAGAGGAAGGCAGGCTGGGATTCATCACAGCCTTGGGCCTCCCACACCCACTCTCATGGTATAGAAAGTCTTGGGACGAGAGGATGTGCCCCTGGTGAGCACAAGTATGAT